TTCACTTGCTGCCATAGGCCCACGAAAAACGCTTTGATGGGTTCCCAAAACTTGTAGATCAGGAAGGCGGCACCGGCGATGGCGGCAATGCCCCAGCCGATGGGACCCATGGCAACTAATAGTCCTTTAAGCGCACCGGCTACCCAGGGGATGGCGGTTTTGGCTATCCAGCCTAGTGCGGTGCCCAAGCTACCGACCCTGATGCCGAGCGTGGTCATGGCGAACTTGGCGAACNGTATAAGAGACAGACGCGGGCCATCTCGGCGTTTTCACCGGCGTTGGTTTGTAGGGCGTTTATTAGCTCATCCAAGTCACCGTCGGCCATCCCATTGACCAGCTCGGTCATGCCGGAACCGGCTTCGGCGCCAAAGATCTTGGAGAGCAATGCTCGGCGTTCGACGTTGCCGAGATCCCGCGTGGCGTTGTTGATGTCGCGGAGGATGTCGGGCATATCGCGCATATTGCCGTTGGCATCTGATACCTGCAGGCCCAGTTGCTCCATGGCATCGCGGCCTGCCTTGGCGGGATCGGTCAGTCGGTTGGCCATGGCGCGCATGGCGGTACCGGCCATGCTGCCTTGAATGCCGATATTGCCCATCAAGCCCGCCATGGCGGCGGCTTGTTCCATGGTGAGGTCGAGGTCTTCGGAGCCGCCCAGGTACTTCATGGTTTCGCCGAGCATTTCCAGATTGACGTTAGCGCGGCTGGCAGTACCGGAGAGGATATCCGCGACGCGGGCCATCGCGCCGTCGGCTTCCATATCGATTTTGAAGGTGCCCGCGATGTTGGAGGCGATATCCGCCGCGCGGGCTAGCTCGGTGTTGTTGGCCAGGGCGAGATCGAGCACATCGCGCATCGAGGCCTGAATGGCTTCCGCGCTCATCCCTGCTCGCAGCAAGAACTCTTGGCCGCCGCCGACTTCGGTGGCACTGAACGCGGTGGAGCCGCCCAGCTCGCGTGATTGTTCACGCAACGCCTGGTAGCGCTCATCGTCAGCACTAAAGCGGCCTACCGCTTGTAGGGTGCTCATCTGTTCGCCCCAGGCCACGCCGGGGGTAAGCAAACGGCTAGCGGCGTAACCTTGCGCTATACCAGTGCCGAACATGCCCATACCCACGCCTTGGGCGCGGGCAACATTGGTCATGCCATTTTGGTAGCGATCGCGGGCTTGCGTTAGGCGGCGTTGCCGTTCGGCGACTTCGGAAAGGAGGCGTTTTTGCTCTTGAAGCGTGGTGTTTAGTCGATCCTCTTTTGTTCGCAGATCTCGCGAACTTCGGCCGAGGTTGTCGGTGCTGATACCCGCTTCATCAAGCCGCGTTTTTAGACCACGGATGCGCTCAGTTTGGGTGGCGTGGTTTCGGGTGAGCTTTTTGACCTCTTCGTCTGCGTTGCGGGTTCGGTTGCGGTATTCCCGCATTGCTCGGGCGGATCTGTCGAACTCGGTTTGCTGGCCATGCAAGCGCACGCGAGCGCGCTCTAATGAAGCGCTCAGCTGGTCGCTGGGTTGTTTGGTATTGAGCATTTCACGTGCTAGCCGGTCGTACTCTCGGCGGGCAACTGTCAGGCCAGACTTAATGTTTGCATGGGCTTCGCGTTGGCGTTCCAGGGCTTGAGTGTATTGCTGATTACGGGCGCGGGCGTCACGCATTGCGCGTGTAGTGGTGCGTAACGCGGCGTTGGCTTTGCGGTAGCTGGTGAGGTCGCTTTGGGTGCGTTGCAGCTCTTTGAGCCGGTCGCGGGTTTCGCGCATGGCTTGGCCGGTTTGGCCAGCGCCTTGGCGGATGCGTTTCAGGGGGCCGGTGACACGGTCCACGGCGTTAAGCATTACCTGCAGGCGTAGATTTTGTGCCATCGA